CATATGTGAGATAACTTCTTCGAAGTGGTTAGTTGGAATGACCCATTTAAAGAAGTTATAAGGCTTGGCATTCGATCGTTTTCCCTACATGAAACACTTTTGTCAGACCAACTAGGAAGAATGGCCATGTTACCAATTCAGTGAACATGTCAAAATACATACAGAACAATTTCAGTGGGTTCGATGCCATTTTAGATACCCTAATGACACACTTCTTTACCGTAGTCACATACATTTATTTCAATCTTCAGATTACTGGGTGACTGACTATAGGGTTTATCTCGAATGATAACTCATTTCTACAACAAATGCAATAACGTTAATTTTCAGCAAACATCATGAAGATTAACCCTAATTTAAACAACATGAACATTGAACTCCATTAAAAATCAATAACATGAACATCTAGAGATAAACTCCATTAAACTAAACAACATGAACATCAATCTACAAATAATAGCCTACATGACACCCGTCTTTATACACTTAAACTCCATTAAACTTCTTACATGCATCAACATTAAACCTCCCCCATGCATGAACAATAGCCTCCGTTAAACTCCCTCCATGCATGAACATTAGTATCTGATGGAGGGTGATTTATTAAACTCCACTAACTTCCTTGCATGCATTAAACTCAACCCATTGAGCCGAAGCTTAGAATAACCTAGTATTAAGGGTATCTATACATACTTAGCCAAGTAAAAACAAAGTAGGGTTACTTAAACAACAAGTGAGTATTATCATCCAAAAACCTAAACGATTTTGAAGAGAATCCATCTGAAAAGCGAAACGAGACCCTATAAACCCTAACGCTGATAAACCTCTTATCATGGAGAAAGAGCACTCGTTGACGTGGGGATAATTGTCGAAGAAAGAGTTGCCGCAGTAAACACACACCTTCGCCTCCGTCGAGTTGATCAACACTGTGACTTGCTCTTGAAACTTCGCTGCGACGGAGTAGGAAAAGGGAAAAAGGTCGGAAAGGCGAAGGGTAATGCAAGTATAATAAGGACAATGAGGGTAAAATTGTCCGAATATTTATCAAAAGGGCACTTTGGGTATTTAAAAGTCTTAAAATGCGGGAAAGAGAATCTTCTTTGATGGAACACTAATGGAAAGGGGATCTTTGTTTAATGGCGACGGTACAGGGGGGCTGTGTCACAGGCCCCATAGTATAGGGGATTCATGTAATTTATCCAAAACTTTATTGTTTTATAATAATAATAATAATAAATTTAAAACTTCTATTACCTTTGTTGTTTAAATTGAGAAATTTAGTCCATATGTTATCATAATATATATTAATATATAGTTAAAAAATATAATTTAAATATTGTAAACATTGCCCTTTACATTACTTAAATTAAAGAAAAATGACCAAATCACTCAAGTGAGGTCAATTGAGACCATGGTTTTCTAACCATTAGTGTCTACATGTTTTGGGGTTTATTTTAAGGGAAATTCAGTCTTAAGGCTGTTTCCTTTGGTCAAATTTGAGTAGGTAAAGTTCTAGACCTTGGAACCGACCTAGGTGGGGGTTGGTTCCAAGAATTTGGAGTCATACCTTAACCCATAAAAAATACGTGTAAAATATTTATACATATTTTATAAATAATATGCATATTTCCAAAATAAAGCTGAAATATATATATATATATATAATAAAACTGAAATATATCATATATATAATATATCTGAAATATTATATATAATATATATCTAAGTCGGTTCGGTTTCGGTTTTTACACATGAAAACCAAAACCAAACCAAACCATTGGTTTATGTTTTTTTGTAACCCGAAACCGACCGATGCTAAAGAAAAATTGGCCAACTCGGGTTGAATAGGACCAGGTTGGTTGGTTTGGGACTTGTTATGAACAACCCTAATCTACACCTCAAATTAATTGCAATACCTTTCAACACCCCTAAGTAGACCTATTCATGAGTCGGGCTAGGCTTTGCCTCTTTATCAACAAAAAATGTGCAAGCCCAAGCCCGAGCCTAACCCTTATATAAAGCCCGAAGCCTGAAGCTCGACCTATATACAAAATGTCTTATTTTCAGTGTACTTTTATAAACTAATATTATATTATTTTAGTAATAATTTAATAAATTAATAAACTAACTTGTATTTATTAATAGTAAATTAATAATTTAAGAAACAAATATATATTATATATAACATAAATGCTTTTTTATTATATGTAATAGTACCAACCAGGCTTATTTAAGAAAACCTAAGCCTGGCCCGGAAAATAACTGGGCTTGGTATTTAAAGGTCGAACTCAAACCCACGGACTTGAAATTTTGTCTAGGCCCGAAAAATAACGAAGCGGGCCAGCTGAGCCATCGGGCTACCCAGCCCATGAACAAGTGTATTTATTGTTTGACATCATAGATTTAACTTTGTTTTAATAGTCCCGTGTTTATTTTACGTTATCAAAAATAAACTCACCAAATTCTAAAGGATTGAGAAGAAATATGAGGAAAAGAGATAATAAATGTCCACTTGGAACCGTTTTCATGCAATGTCTCTTGATGTTGCAATGTGGGCTCCACTTAGAAAGTAGTGAAGCCATATTTGGTGAAAAACTCAAGCAGCCAAAATAAAAAAGTGATGTTTGGTATGATTGAGGTTTTCCTAAATAATTGTCACATAAATTTGATAAATTTTGTAAACCAACTTTGAGTTTTGTGCATGGTTTATATGCGTAATCATTTGTTGCCAAAACGTGCTGTTAGGTGACGATCAAAAGGGTGAAAACATTATTTTCATTGTTTTTATTCAAAAGTTTCAAAGCATTTAGTATTAATTGAAGTGTTTTAAAACGAAATAGGAAATATGAAAGAAAAGTAAAAAACCTCCATAACGATGGCATGGAAGAAATATATTTAAGAAAAGACTCGTACCAAACACCTTCAAAATATTTGAGTCCATGCAACTCGTACCAAACACCTTCAAAATATTCTCTAACTCGTCGGATTAGAGACCTGAGATCAAATTCCGCAGGGAATGGGCAACCCCAAGTTGTGTAGCTCCATGAAAAAAAAAAACTTAGATCATGTTTGAGAGTGCTTTATTCAAAATAAGTGTTTATTTGGGCTGAGATCACACAATTAAGCACTTATTGGTGTTTGGAAAATAATCCCAAAATAAAAGTTTATTTAAAAAAAGAACTTATTTTTAAACCCAAATTTCCAGTTTTTTTAACTATTTATACATTATTCCAAAATTATCAATAGTTGAATTTTATAAAAGTACCATTATAAAAGTATTTTCATAAAATTTGAAAGAAAATGAAAGACAAAGTAGTCACAAATACTATTTTAAATGTTTATTAAAGAAAAAAGACTATACCAAACATTAATATGAAATAAGTACTTATTTAATATAATTGGATGTTAAATACAAATAAGTGCTTATCCAAATAAATATTTATTTTTAATATAATCACTTCCAAACATGTCCTTGCACCATCGCAGAATATCTTAGGGGTTATTTATTTATTTATTTTTGCCGGGGAGCGGGGGATAAGTATGGATGTTTAAAGCCTGTCCCGACACATTATGCAATTTATTCGGAATCTTCGAAACGTGACGGGTAGGTCCGTAGGTAATGACTCAACACGTTGCGGGTATCTCGTCTCCTAACCTCGAATCCCTGTGATCACTCCTCAGTACATGTCGTCCTGCCTTAAACTGGCGATGAGAGTTTTGACACCTCTCACCAGTCACCACTCGTCAGTGCGCTGGGCTCGAGAACAGCATATTCGCGTGGGAAGATGGCGGGAAAAATAATCTGTCGACGTCTCCGCCTGGGCTGTGTTTGGTTTAAGGTGAGAGACGATATCGATGGAAGCTTTATGCAGGACAACCATCACCAGGCTCTCCATTCTCCACTCTCCGTCTCGAATAGAAATACTGAAATAGAATGGCCGTAAGTTGAGGGAGCACTGCACAGCTGGCGATATTATGAGTAAGGACTGAGTCAGACAGATGGGTTGGTCGCCTCGTCTCGTCATATGTGCTTAGCGGAGAGCTGTACTGACCCAAGCCTTCCCTTGCACCTGCACTTACCACGTGTATTTAAGTCAATGAGAGACCCCCAGACTCAGTCCTACGTGGATCTGGATCTCCACCCAAAATCCAAATTATCCATGTCCGTGATTTTTAGCATCATCTCCAAGCTTTGATTCAATGCTACTGCCCTATTTGACTTAGGCAGTGTTTTGTATGACTTTCCTTTATTTTTGTATGACTTAGGCAGTGTTTTCTGAGCTGGGCTGATTTGTACTTCTCCCTTTATATTATTATGTTTATCCTATATATATATATATATACATCTATCTATTTACTGTTCTGTCAATGCAGTGTCTGATGACACTTAATTGTCAATAAACTATTTAATAAATACTTTCTTGAATTTTGAAGATAAATCAAAGTATATTTAATAAAAGTCAGGTATCCCAAACACATATTTACTCAAAGGTCAACTGTCGCTGCTTTTCCGTATCCCATAGGGCCCCACTTAGTTGAATCATGGGAACGTAATTATGTGTCAAATGATAGATCGAGGGCTAGGGTTCTTCTAAATCAAATCCAAACAAGACTACTCCAGCAGTGAATCAACGGATTCTGAGTCAAATTTTGATACACCGAATTTATAAAGTAAGGGTAATTTCATCACTGGGAAACCAAATCCAACAAAGCCATGGATCAAGCATCAAATAGCGAAACGAAATCCATCTAGGGTTCCAAATTTTGGAAATCATGGCCAATCACTAGGGACCTATGTGTAAGAGGCTTACGTGGTGTTTTGTCATGGGTTGAGGATGCGGAGGTTGGAGCTACCCCATGGCCCAATCCCCGGGAAATCGAACACGAAAAGATGAAAAAGAAAATCTGAAAGAAAGTGACTCGAGTCTGACGACTCCGACTCCGTAGTCCGGCCGCCTCAGTCCAAGGGAGAAAAAAAAAAAAAAAAAAAAAATGAAGAAACAAAAAGAGAAGTAATGGGAGAAGAGAAAAAGGGAAATGGATTGAAATCTGTTGGCCATGTCATTGACACTAACAAATACCTACAAACGCAACATTCCTCTCCGTGGTTTATAATAATTTCTTGTATGTTGATTTAACCTCTTTTATTTATTTATTTATTTATGGTTACTGCTTTGTTTCAACGAGGGTTTTTCTTCCTCTCGGAACTCAGAAGGCAGATCTAGGGTCAATCCTTTCTCCCCCTTTGGCTAGCCGTTTTCTCCTATTTCCCGCCGCTTTTCCACGAACGTTATCTCGTCGGACTTCCGTTCACTTGCTGTTAGTTACATCATTTTTTTCGGCTTTTGTTTCTCCGGGTTTTCTTCTTGTTCTTGTTCTTTTTTTTGTTGGTCTGGGTCAAAAATGTCTGTTGCCGAAGCGGAGACAGAGATGGGACAGGAGGAGGAGAAGGTTGTAAAGGGTGGAGAGCTGTTGTTTTGCGGCGGAACTAATTGGGATACCATTGGCCGTAAAGGAACTCCAGCTGATGGGAACTTGGTTTCACCCACTCGCTTGCGGCCTCTTGTTGGTGTCGACATTCGTTTTGTTGCTTCGGGTTGCAGTAAGTTTTATTTATTTTGTTTTTTATTTTCCCTTTCTTTTTCGAAACAATCGTGCAAACGTTGGGGTTACTTGTCTAATGTTGTTGCGGATGCAGCTCTGACTGTTAGGATCTTTCTTGGTTTTCTGTTGTTTTGTTTCTTTTGTTGTTGATGATAAGCGGACCTGTTAGTGCAGAATATGCTGTTATCTTTCATACTTCTAAAAGAGCTTATATTTCTTAATCTCTCCGCAGCGTCTTGTCACTGTGTGGCTTTGGATGTTGAAGGTCGTTGCTACACTTGGGGCCGAAATGAGGTATGAGACGAGATGCTGAAATGTAATTTATTTCTCTCTCTCAAACGCAAATTTTAAACCTTTTTCTTCAAATTTATCATCCGAGGGTACGCAGAAGGGGCAGTTGGGACATGGAGATACGCTTCAGCGTGATCGACCAACAGTTGTGTCTGACCTATCGAAGTAAGCTGCCTTTTTCTTTGTTTGAAACTATTTATATTCTTTTGTTGCTTAGGCTCTTTACTTGTATTGGAGATAGTGCTTTCTTCATTATCGAGAAATTTTCTTCTCTTTTTGGTAATGCGTTGCGGCCCTTTCGACTCTCTTCCTCCATGCTGCACACGCCATGAATCATGAGCTGGTTGAATGCAATCTGCCTGGTTTTCAGGTTATTCTGATTATCCTCTTATAAGGTTGTGGTTCATGCTAGTTGGTAGAGTTAGTTTGAAACGTTGGACTTGCAATATGTGGTTGCCAGGTTGAAGATGGTTCCTAATTTTTTATAGCTTCCCTGTGACGGGGTAGTTCAAGAACAGTCCATTAAGTGCCAAATGATTTTACCTAGAAAATATAGACACAAACGCAAACGAAATATAAAAAGCACATTCCAATTGTGGCGGCCCTCCTCAAGAGCAATTGTTCAAATTCATTTTATCTCTTACATTTCTAGCCTTACGTCATAGCATTTACAGAAATAATAAGCTGCGTCCTGTCCTACTTTCCTTTCCAAATATGTTCATACCTAATATTAACTATAATAAAATCTTATCTAAATCTAGGCCAGTTTGAATCTAAATCCACCTAGATTTATTTACTATTTTATTATAACTTAACATATACAAAAGCTTGATCACTATTTCCTAATAATTAAGGATCCTTTATACTCTTTGAAATCAATATTGTCCCCAATTCCATGAATCTTGATAGCTATCCCTTGTGATTGGTATGATGGATCTTGTTAATATAAATGAGCCAAACAGGTGATGTCCTTTTGGAGTAACCTTTTAAGGTACTTGTAGAAACTATGCTACTTGGATGTGGATGTTGATTATCACTGTGATTGCAAAGAAAATAAGGAGGAATGAGAGTGCAAGATAAAGGAAACTAAGGATTTTTTGTTGTTTGCTTATTCATAGAAAATCAAAAAGAAAGTTGCAAAAAAGATAAAAAAGAAAATCATTTCTTTTCTGATCCCATTTTGGAAACAAAACATTAAGATGATTCATTCACTTGTTTGTTAATTTAGATTATGATATTCTAGTTTACATTACCTTTTGCAGTAATGTATGGTACACCTCAACAAACTTGCTGAGGGCTTTGTTTTTTTTTTTTTTTTTCAAATTCTTTGAATCACCAACTCTTGAAGGTTGAATCTTTTCTCAGCAAGCTGCTTTGTCCATCCTGCTGGTTGAACCAGAAGCAAGCTTTGCATTCCTTTTCACTTGTCCAGTTTCTTCACCAAAATGCTGGGCCACAAGATACCCGTAGATATGGTCTCCCATCTTTCAGATGACAGATCTTCTATTATGAATGCCTACTTTTGTCGTGTCTGATTGCATTCCTCTTTTCAACTAGGAGAGAAGATTATTTCAGACAATTCAATTCTTCTTTTTCTCTTCATTATTCGTAACTGGGTTATGCTCTTCTTTTTTTTTTTTTTTTCTATTCAATTCGATTAGATTGGGCAATGTTTACTGTTTAGCAATTCCCAAAGTGGTAACTTTGAGCTAGATAAAGAGAGACATGCAAGACTCTGTTTTGTGGACAGGAACCCAGAGGAGGGATTGAACGGTTCCTTGCACAGAACAAAGCATTGATTTGTTTGTTTGCCAATAAGAAAATATTATATTACCATACTTTGGGCCATAAATGTTTAATTTCTAATCATAAAAGGAATTTATCCATAATAGCTTAGATGCATTCGTTTATTAATAGGTACAAAAGGATAAGTAAAATTGTAATAATATACATAAGTCTATGTTGCATGATGTTAAAGGAGCATTATTGTCGCTTTTGAATTGCATACATTCCCCTTTCAGCCACTGCCCACTGGTTGCCATGTTTTTTTTTATTGTTGTTCGCAAGTCCATTTAAGATAATACATGCCCAATTTGTCAAAGATTAATGTTGGAAAAACAGAAGGAATTTGGTGCGTCTGATGCAGATCCTATACCTGTACATTAGAGTAGCAACATAATCTCTAAGAAACTCTTCAATAATGATTGAATCAGGAACACTATTTTCATTTGGTTAATCTGCGAGTTTAGGTTGGATAAAACATCCCTTTAAACCAAAGAGAAGGCCATCATTAGGTACATACGTGAATTTGTAATGGAATATTGATACTGATGGCCTCTCCAGATGTTTAGTGACCTGTAGTGGCGGTTTCTTGAACCCGGGCTCATACATAGGCTCCACCTTGGTAAATATAATAGCATGCTTATATTGTTAACTACAGAATTTCTAGCTTAACTGTTGCCAATTGGTTGCATTCATAATTTAATATGGCATTCAACAGAACAGAATGACAAGACAGGTTTCATGTAGCCGACCCCATGGTCCCCATATAGTTGGGATAAGGCTTGGTTGATGGTTAATGTTGACAATTGGTTGCTGTAGTTTCTCTTTAATTTCTTTAATAGTAGCCCATTATTTGTGGTGTATTGCCACCAGAACACTATCAAGTTAGCATGCAATTAATGTACCAGAAAAAACAAGTAAAGAGAAATTTAATAGTAGAAGGAAATGCTCATTTCAAAGGTGGACCACCTTATGAGGACTAAGAATTCCTTTTGGATTTCCTAAAACACCAACTTTTTGTTGGTAGTTATTTCCAAAGTTTTAGTTATTTTGTAACAATTTGTTATGTGCCTTAGGAGAACTCACCCCTAAAAGCTAGCTGTTAGAGGGAGGGAACCCAAGCACATATATATATTACAACAGCATCCCATACTACCGATGTGGGATACCTCACATTAGCATCCCATACTACTAATATGGGACAAATGGATCGTAACACAATTCTTATTATTTAATTCCATTACTTATTCTTCCCTTTTTGGATGGTAATAATGGTATACGTCTAAATTCTATGTTACTTTTTGTTGTTAGAAACTAATTATTCATTGTTCAATGTTTTGATGTGCTATGTGTCATAATGAATTATTAGATTAACTTTAGCTAATTATCTGTGCTTGAAGAATTTAATGGCAAATGCCCTGGGGTCCCAGCCTCCTAGACACTTTCCCAAAACCAGCACCACATTGAACTCATGCAAAATAGCCAGCATATGACATACAATTTGTGGAATGATGAACACAACTTCCTTTTGTTTAGCGTTTTCAATGCTGATTTATGATAGTGAGATATTTATTTGGTGCTGTTGCAATGCATTCTTTTGGTTTGTGGAGCTACTTAAGGGAAGCTAAGCAGGCAGCTTAATACTTTTTGTTCTGCTGCTTAGAACTAAAGCCATTAACTTGGCTTATTTTAGTTGCTTCATGCTGAATTGTCCTTTTTGCAAAGGTTGGGTGTATTTGGAGGTAGTGGTACAAGGTTATATTTGAAGTAAAGCATCAAAGTAGCGGAACAGTTGTTGCTAACTTGCTATCATTTGTTCCATAATGCAGAATGGTCTATTATCCACTTAGATCTATCAACAGATCAGGTTTGAGCTGGCTGGGGGTGGTGCTGGTGCCAGCCTTATGATAGTATAGTCAGATCTGGTCCGAATTAAGACCCCTTATGACCTGTAGATTACAGGCCCATAATTGACGCCATTGTTAATTGGACCTAATGGGTCTGACTCAATGGGACTGGACCATTAACAAAGGCCTAAACTGTGATATTTTTATGATTAGCCAAAATAAGCTTGATGGTAGATCTTAAAGGCCCTAATTCAACAATAAACACGTCAACTGGCAAGTTCTGACATTATGTGAAGGTATTATTATTTTAAGAAAGACAAACAAATCCTAAAGGTAGGGACAGAATGATGATACACTTTTGTTGCATTGGGTCTTTATTGGTTTGGTACATGGTGGACTTGGTACTGACCCAATTATTATTCATGCTCAATAAATAGATCCAGAACTTACCTATCACAAAGGGGGCCTCTCTGAGACCTTGTATAATGTAGTGTTGGATGGGTTTGTGCTTGTTAGGTTGACCTGTCAAATGGACTGGCCAGTGGCCACTTCATATGAAGATGTGGATAATCTGTTCACCAGTGATAAGTTTTAGAATTTTAGTTTACTTTTAATGCTGCAAGTGTTGACCAGTAGTAATTTTGATGCATTATTGTTTTTTTTTTCTTTCTGAGGTGAAACAAACTCACCTCCTTCTCTCACGTGCATTTTCCTTCAAGAAAATTGTCTGTTATTATAAAAAGTCTAAATTAATTTTGTTATTGGTGTAGATATAAAATCATCAAAGCAGGAGCAGGAAGGAGCCATACAGTGGTAGTAACTGAAGATGGAAGTTCCTTCTCTTTTGGCTGGAATAAACATGGACAGTTGGGTTCAGGTTCAATAAGGAATGGTAGGCCCATTGATTAGAAAGTTTGATCCACTAGATCATGTGTATTCCTATTGGGTCCTGAGCATCACAGGATATGTGCTTGCGGATGAAACTTTTGGTGTTTTGTGTTTTGTATAACAGGCTAATGATTACTTGTAAAAATAGGCCCACGAGTGATTTGTTATGTGATCACATGCACAGCTGTTCTGTTGCTTCTATCTTGGTTCATTCTCCTTCTTTGTGAGTCCCTGCTGTTTGCCAAAATTATTTTGCTTGCATGTATTAGTTTATTAGTCTTGTCAATTAATGGTATCCAAACCAATGATCGCTATGATGTGATCACTCATTTTCTGCAAGTCTGCCAACCATCTGGATTTAACTCTGCTTTGTTGAGCTCAGTTTCATCTTTTTTTTTTTTTGATAATAAAAAGGAAAAAAAAGGAGATTAGTATAACTGTACAGTATAAAGCGCACAAGTACTTTAAAATAACCCTTGCCTGCCTGACTGCAACGTTAGTCATCAGCTTTGAACACTTTATCTCTCTTCTCTTCCCCTACTATGATCATCTTCAGCCTTTCTTCTTTTCTCCCCATTTCAATATCTTCAAAGGCCCTTCTTGTGAACTCCCCACCACCCCAGAAAAACAATCCTAAGCTCTACTTACCAACCCTAACATTCCTATCAGCCAAACTCTTGATCTCCACTCTTCCTCCCTTCTCCTTCTAACCGACTGAGAGAGCCTCATCAACCCATTTGTCTACCTCATAGCTCCCTTTTCCTTTTCCTCAACCCTGAAATTAACATTAAACTTTCTTCAGAGGCTTAAACGAGGTCAACAGCTGAAGCTTTGTCCCACCTAGATCTTGAAACTCAATTCCCCTCCCCTCAACAACCTCATTATTCAAAACTTTGACTTTGATCCTTTTTTCCTATAGATTATCTTATATCTGTTTGTAGGATTACCAAGACCATCTTTCAGACTTTCAGTTTTGAAAAAAAATTTTAGTTTCATGGACAATGTGAGGTTTACAGCAAACCTGTGCTTTCTTCAACACCATCGAATTGCCATTGGAATCATTGTTGGTCGCAATTTTTCTTTTCCGACCCAGTTCAATTCCAAGCTTTTCCAATTGGAACCTCTAGATTCAAGTAATCATCGCAACCTTCCTGCAAATCACTTTCTCCCTTATTCTCATGTCCTTTGCGCAGCAAATGTCTCCTGAAAACTTGTCTTCACCCCTTTGAGGAGCCTCCCCTCCTCTCCGTCCCATCCTACAACTCCTACCCCCATACAACTCCCTCCACTTCTACCACTCCTCTCTTTTCTCCCTTTTCTCCCTCCCTTCTCCTTCTAAACGTTCAGCAGCTTGATATGTTGAGATTGTGCAGCCTACTTGTACCTCTTCAGGTTGAATGTTAACCAAGAAATATCCAAAACAAATCACAGTTGCCAGACTGGCAATCAAGCTCCAACCTTTTTTCTTGTCAATGCTTTCAATGCTCTGCACACCTGAAATGGTCATCTGCTCGCAGCTATCAGAGCTTTGGTGCTGTTTAGAGCCATCCTGATCATTCATGGCCCTCCAAACCACTTTCTTCTTTCCTCTGCAATCGTATCTAGCTACCACCTAAACCCAATCCTCATCCTTCTCGAGACTTGTGAGCACCTCTTCTCTTTCTCCTCAGTTTCAAGTTGTAGCTCTAGGATTTGGCTTGGATCACAAGGGGCTTAGGTGCCATGCATGGGTTCAGTCCCACTGAAGTTTTGATGGACTTGCCTCTTCACTGTTTAGATGCTACACTGTTTTCAATGATAATACTAAAATAAAATGCAATATATTGCATTTAGAGATATGGCCTGTTTATATCTTAACTTTATTTTTTGGGCACTTGACTGGAAAAAATGAAGAATAAAGAAAGTAAATTGGAGTATCACATACTTCAGGAAACTAAAGAAGTAAAAACTTCATGTCATTGGTTTCATCCAAAATTGATCAACCAAATCTCTTGATAGATACTGTATAATTATCAGCTGTTTAAAGAAAACAATCTTACCTCATCCAAATATATCTCTGCCAGTCTGCCCTTCACCTGGGTTGCCACGCCATTGGAAGCATGATTAACAAGGAAAGATCATCCTCTTCGGATACAGATGAGACAAGGGATGTAATGTTTACATTATGTAGTCTTGGTGGTAGTGGGAACAATAGTGACAGACAATGGAGAGAAAGCATTCAATGATTTATTTTGTTTTTTTTTTTCTGTTGTATTGGGTACGAGTGGAGAATCTTTGTTAGGATGCATAGGAGGCAGTGTTAAGATTGGTCTGTGAATGGTTTCTTATTTTGGTCATGTTGGTTTCTATTATACTTGTTAATTTAACATGGTTAGTACATCTTTATTACCATACATAGATGACTATAGCTTTTAATAATGGGCTTACTCTAGGTCGGCTTTAGAAGTTTGGTTTTCATTTTTCTGTGTCAGGTTTCTGTATTGTGCACATCCTGGTAAAGCCATGTAACTTGTAATTTAATGTCATCTCTGCTTTAATTTCTGTAGAAATTGAGCTATCTCCTGTCCGCTGTCTGGTGTCTGAAGTTACAAATGCTGTTTGTGGTGCTGACTTTACTGTGTGGCTATCTTCTATCCAAGGATCTTCTATACTGTATGGTTTGTAGATTTCCTTCAGTTTTGTTGTTTTTGATTGTAAATTGTTGGTCTGTTCACAAAATGGTTAGAACTGATCCAATTCAACTGGTCAACCCGATTTGGTTGGTTCTGAAAAATGGTCTGTCAGTTTCGAGTTGAAAAAAATGTACAACCTGATCCTTAAATTCGGCTATGGTTTATTGTATCACAAACCGAATGTTACTCGATATTAGTGGGATGTCAAGCACAATTTTCATTATGAAAGTGGGTCCCATGGGTCCCACAATGTTAACTGAATATAATTTTTCTCTCATCTGACACATACACAGATCAATTATAAAAAATAGAATACTGAGATGGTAATTCCTACAGCAGCCTGTCTTGTTATTTGAAGTTTTTAGTTTTGCCAACCGATTAAACCGACCAAATGCATTCAAAATCAGTTTAACAGAACCGTTTTATAAGCATAACGGTCAGTTGCGATTAGTCAAATAAGCAAACTGACAGTGTCAGTTTGGTCGGTACAAGTAAATTAAACCGAACTGAACCAACCTGTGAACGGCCCTACTGCAATTTCCTGGTTACGTTTTTGAAGTTCCTAGTTGCTTGGTTTGCTTGCTTACTTTTAGACTGCTTTTTGTCTTTCAGAACTGCAGGTCTTCCACAGTATGGCCAACTTGGACATGGGACGGATAATGAGGTACAAAGGTTTGGATTATGATTCCTTTTGTTCTATGTTTGTCTTTTGCTTAGAATACTTAAATAATGTTGTCTTTGTAGTACAATGCCAAAGAAAGCTCAGTAAGACTTGCATATGAACCTCAGCCTCGACCAAGAGCTATTGCTTCTCTTGCAGGAGAAACCATTGTCAAAGTTTCATGTGGAACAAACCATACAGGTTATTTCTCATTTCCTTCCCTCTGTTTTCCTCTGTCTTGCTCATTTTGGCTTTTATCCCATGTGGTTGGATGCTTGTTTGTTTCATTTCATTTTTCTTAACACCCACTATTGTTTCTGGAAGCCAGTTGCTGTGGATTCAAAAGGATTTGTGTATACGTAAGCATCTGTTTCATTTCTTTAATTTGACCTGGATTAGTTTTGGTTGATTGACAAACCGATGGACAAGTTCCATTGAAGTAATTAATCCTTTTTCCTTCATGCTGCATGTTCAGATGGGGATTTGGTGGCTATGGAAGGTTAGAATCTTAGCAATTGTTACTTCTTGTTTGTCATTCTTGTATTTGTTTTACTCATGATGTATTTGTTTTTATTTGCGGTCATTTTTCATCAAGCATGTAACCATTTAGTTGGTGATATAGGCTTGGGCATAGAGAACAGAAGGATGAATGGGTTCCTCGTCGTGTTGAAGTCTTTCAAAGGCAGAATGTTCTCCCTCCTGATGCAGTGGTTTCAGCTGGTTCTGTTAGTTCTGCATGCACAGCTGGTATTACTTTATTTTTTCTGTAGGGTTGATGTGATTGTCATGTCTTTAAAAGTCATCAATTGTGCACTAATGTATCCATTGTTTTATTTCTGGTATCCTTTCTATATGCCGTACTCTTTGGTTTTGTTCTTTTTTGGTAATTGTTAGATTTTATTGATTATGAGAAATGAATGATATGTACGTCAACAAACTTCCATCTGAAAGTTGCACCCGGCTCTCTTGATAGGTGAACAATCTCTTGTTATATTCCTGTATTGCCATGATCCTTGTTTGGCATGCTTTAGGGGAGTTAGTTCTGATGATTTCTTGATTCTAGGAATTAATTTTAAGTTTGGATGTTCAGAGGTTACTGGAACAATTTTTTTGATCTCTTAAAGCTCATTCTGAGAATTATTCATAAAAAAAGGCTCATTCTGAGAATTGATATTGTTGAATGATGCATCTTTGGAGCATTCTGAGTCCGGGTGTCTTCTTCCCCAAACTCGACCCTTGTACAACAGCCAGTAGTTTCTGAATTGATGGAATACCCTATACAAGTAGGACATGTGAAGATGACTAAAATGTCCCCATTACTTCTTTTGTTCCTTTAATGCTGAAAAGTTTGAGCTTCTTAACTTTAAGTTTATTTTGCCATAGTTTTTATGTTACTGTCAAGTCTTTTTCATCTCAACTGAGCTAAAGTTGCTATCTTTACAGCTTAGTTTTTCTATTGTTGGGGCAGGATTTTACAGGAAGTCCTGTCCATTGCTGGATTGTTCACCCGTCCCTGTCCCTCAATTTCACTCAAAGCTAGTTGAATCATTCAATCTGCATTAGTGAATGCTAAATTGCTCAACTCAGGATGGCTCATACTTAGCTGGCATAGATATATGATGAAGTATGTTTTGGAATAATATTCCAAGTGGGTGGAGACTGGAGAGTAGTAGCCCTATGGGTTGGTAGGGAATAATAACACTCTAGTCTCATGAAGCTCCTTATTTTTATGCTTCTGCCTATTAAACTTCTAGTGGCATTTTTTGGATTATAGTTTTCTTTATTCTGGCTTCAATATTGTTTTTCCTTGGTTTTGATATCAAAGTAAACTCCTGTGATTGCTCCTGGTACTGGATGTAACCTTTTTTACCACTTTTAATGGAATTCAAATAATGTTGCATCTAGTTGGAATTCATCATTTTGGGTTAATTGATGTGTCCTGTATGCTTTTTCATGATCACTCATTAAAAACATTTCAATTATCTTTCTTCCTTTTCTTTTTGAATGTCTGATTCAGCTGTAAAAGTTGTTTCATATTTGATTTTTTAATAATTCATTGAACAATAGGGTGTTGTTTCTACTGATGGTGAAAAGAGCTCTTCTAACTGCCTCTTGACTGGCCTGCAATCCAAGCAGGGGCAGCAAAGGCAGGTTCTGTTGAACTGTGGGAAGGTAATGGGATTGGTTTCATGTATAGCCCTTGCAAATATAACTTAGCCCTAAGGCGTTGGGTTGGGGTTCTTGTGACAACTTTCTGTCATATAAAATTCTGTTCATTAGGAGAAATTAGCTGAATATTGCCCGAGATGATTCTTAGATAAAGTCACTTGTAGATGTTGTGTAGCAGCAGTTGCAGAACAAGTAGATCAGATGTGTAACCTCAATATGAATTCTTAAAGTCTGGAAATGATAGGAAGTAGGTGGCAGGGAATGTGTTGGCCCCATGATATCCCTTTATTTTATTTGGGTTATATTTTGTATGTCGCATGCATATTTTCTCTTTCCAAAAGTGATCTTGTCATGTCTGGACTGAGTGGTCTTTGTCAATGCTGGTTTTTATGGATTTGAGTCTTCCCAGTTTGGCGATTATGTTTCTAATTTGGTAATTGATATTATTTTATGCATTTGATGTTCTTAAACCATGGACAAGAAAATACTCCTTGGAATTATGTAAGAGATATAATAGTTGACATTGTATTGTTTTAGGATATGGGATGGCATATTTTGGTGAAGTAGCAGTTAAATTTTGTTTGTTACATTTATTTGAAAAGTATGATAGGCAGAGCTGGTATTTTTTTGTTGGCAAGGGTTGGACATTTTTTCTTCAGAGGTCATTGATAAACATGCATTTTTTTCTTTAATCTGTTCTGCTCTAATTTGCTTTGTCTTTATTTTATTGATCTTTTGTATAATGTTAGTAATGTGGTTGATTCCCAGCTTTACTTTTTGTTATTAATTAGTGTTACTTTGTTTGCATGAAGTTTGCATTGAGTTTTAATATTTATTTTCTGTCTGTTTGGAATTTATAATTACATTTTTTTTCTTTGCTAGGTGGAGGGCAATTGTATATGTGGGGCAAGATAAAGAACACTGGTGATGACTGGATGTACCCAAAGCCTGTTATGGATTTAAGGTTGTCTCTGGTGTCTTACCTTGTTTACATTCCCTACATTACTGGCCTTATTTCTGTTGTGTATGGTTGATGTGGCTGATCCAAAGTTTAAACTGTCCACCAGGTTGGGACATTCTGGATTGGTCACTCAATCTCACAGTTCCCATCCGCCCTATATCTTTTATTTGTGATTTCACAAACTAATATTAGCCATTGAAGATTTAATTATTTTACTATGGAATTTGGGCAAAGAGAGAGTATTTTTGATTTTTTTTGTATGAAATTTACCTTATTTTTAGATGCTGATGCGAGGAACCTGTGGGGCTTGTTTGGGCTCCCGTGCTACTTTGTCATGGTTAAGATTCCTATTTCTGTTGGGGGACCTCACTAAATAACTCAGTAGCAAATCCACTCTCATAGTTGGCATTCCATGTTTATCATTATTTGATCAGCATTGGTGTGTTTATGATTTTATTTAGCTGTCTTATTGTTATTTGGTATTTTTTCTTTTAATCTTTGTTTGCATTTAAGGCTGGTTTCTAAGATCTTTCTTTTTGGTAGCACAGCGCCACAACTAGCACCTATGTTTAGAAAACCTGGGGGGGGTCTTGTGTCAATCGTGAGAGGTTGGGGTAGGTACAAGTTGGGTTGCCCGATTTTAAGAATTTCAACTACATTGGACTCTGGCCAATTCAAAATCTAACAATTTGTTGACCCAACCTGACCCAAGTTTTGTCCCTTAATGTGAGGATTCCTGGTCAATTTCACAGTTTTGGACGGATTCCTATAACAAAATTCATTCAACACTTCATCTTCACTAACCTCCAAGTGAAAGTGAACATGGCTATTTATGGAGGCAAGTGATGTCCTTACAAAAGAAGCTCTAACCCTAACTTGTTTCTAAACCGACCTAATGAAATGAATAAGCATCGTTTTAGGATATGTTGTTTGGATATTCAATTAAAGCTTGAGTCTAGATTCAATCAGGGGCTGAGTTTAGAGGTCACTTGCCTTGATTTTTATTTAATTAGTTGGTGATTCTTTTGTTCTTTCACTAGGGATGTGTCGAATCACTTACTGAATAAAAATGTGTTAAAAAAGTGCAGCATTCTGCCTTCACATAAATTTCGTTAGAGTTCAAAAAAAATGCCACTTAGTGATTGATTATGCCTTTTTAGACAGCTTATGTTAATCAATTTGTTTTCGATGGAGAGTCACAAAAATCAAATATGTTGTTTTTGGGTAAGCAATCAAATTATAAATATTCTGAGATCAATAACTTTGATTTGATAATGGTAAGAATTTCATAAGTGAAAAAAGAGGGAGAGGTTGACTCCAATAAAAAGTACTCAAATGAGAGAATAAGAACTCCTTACAATGCCAAATTCAACATTAGTCCGCCTGTCCTGCAAAGGATGCATTGAAAATAACACTGTTCTGGTGATCTCTATAATTTTCCAATTTGAAATTTTCAAAATCTTTGATGGCTAGTGCCCACCATGTGAGGATGCCCTCAATTCTTACATTAGATTTAATAAATGATTTTTGTCATTCCACTTCTCGTAAATTCTTCATTTCATCTCTTTCCTCTTTTTTCGACAGGTAGTAAGTGGAAGTATATTCCATAGAATTTTGCCTCTGATACAGTAACAGTATCCCTCCTGCTGGCAATGTGGAAGTGGTGTTGGCAGATCATCCAGGATAACTTACAATCTTCTAAATGATTTCAGAAAATGCATCCAAACATGCCCAAGAGAAATCACAATGGATCGGGTGTTGACTAACTCGAATTTACCACGTAAACAACACCCGTTGTCCAATGCTAGCTCTTTGTTGATAACATTAATACTAAGAATCTTGTCAGCTGTAATTTTCCATACAAAGAAAGAGCCCTTGGATGGAACCTGAAATACTTTAGGCTTTTCACTAATTGATCATAAAAATATTTGACAAAAGGAAATCTGAGTTGTTCCCCTTGCATATTCTAATATCTTGAGCATTGGGCTGGACATGGACCTTGCTGAGTTGCTTCCAAGAGTACCAGAATGAAGTCTGCCTCCCAATTATTTTAGGAGTAATGTAAATGTGTCTCCGTAGCACCTGGGCATGATGATGTCGTTTTATTCCCTAATAGTGGCCTCCTTATTTTGAGTAAGACAAAATAAGCTTGGGTGTAGGAGGCATAGGGGCTCTATCCCCACACCAAGAATCTTTCTAAAAGATAATGGCACTAAACAGAGGAGCTCACCTTGTAGTTTCAACAAGGTTTGGGGCTTCTTTGATGATGGATATGGCATTGAACAGCAGAATGGAAAAAGAGGATTCATGTTGCCGACCCCATAGAGTTAGGACAAAGTTTAGATGATGATGATGGTCATCACTTGCACCAAGATTATTCGAAAGGAGAATCCTATCACTGAAGTGCCTACCTTGAAGTATTCTCTTCACCCCCTGTTTCAGCCTTTGCAAAAACCTACTTAGAGCCTCCACAACAATGCTAAATGGGAAAGGGGATATAGGACTACCCATATTGCCCTGGCACAATCCCCTTTAGCCTTTGTTGTAAGCGTATGTAGCACCATTTGTCATACCTAACAACCTTGGTTATGAAATGCACACTTAAATCCATTCTCTGACCTCTCTCCACTTGACCCTAGAAACATTTTTTGAAGCAGTCTTGCTTGGATAGCAGAATTTGGTCAGTCTCCTTCTGGGTTTTTCACTAGTGCTTCTTTCTACAATGCTCTTCTCCAATCATCTAACATGGCAGGATCCTTTCCAACAAAGGAGGTTTGGTGTAACCTTGTACCCCCAAAAATAAGGGCCTTTTGTTGGGAGGTGGTACTCCAAAAAATCAACACCTTAGATATGTTGCAAAAATAAGGCCAAACTATGCCTTTCACCCCACGTGTGTAGCCTCTACTTGGCCTGTTGTGAGACCATTTTACAGTTATCTATATCCTGTCCTTTTGTATCCTTTGCTTGGAATTGGTTTTCTTCTCTCTTTGGATGCAGGTGGACCCCTCCTTTGGATGTAGCAAGACTCTTTCATCCAAATTTCTTTAGACTTCCAAAGAAGAAGGGGAGAGCAATGTGGAGAGCAACAAGAGCATCTGTTTTGTGGTCAATCAGGGAAGAAAGAAACAATAGGATGTTCCAGGGTTTTGAAAGATCTAAGGAGCAAATCATTGATTGCATATCTACCAAGGTCATTCATTGGCTTAAAAGCATCTCCTTTATTTAAAGATTATTCAACTGATGATTTGTTTAGAGGTTGGTACACTGGCAAACTTTTCTACATTGAGGTCTGTGATAAAGGAGCAATTGAACCCTCCTGCACATCAATGGATGAAGCTGAACTTCGATGGGAGCTCCTTAGGCAACCCGGGTCCCTCGGGGGTAGGAGGAGCCTTCAGAGACCGGGAGGGCAGAATGGTTGCACTGCATTTTGGTTTGATAGGTGATGGAGGCTCTTTGAGGGCAGAGACTATGGCCTTGCTACAAGGTCTAAGGCTGGCTAAATAATGGGGCCTACACCAGATTGAGGTAGAAGTGGACTCTAAACTTTTAATTGGGTGGTTTCAGTCACTTAAATTGGGGGTTTGGGTACATGGGCAATTCATGAGGGAAATAAACTGCTTAGCAAGGGAGGTTAGGGCATTGTTCAGGTGGACAGGGAGGTCAGTGAATGGACTAGCGGACACCCTTGCAAAGCAAGGAACTTTCAGGGAGAATTTGTTTTGGGCTGTTCTGTAATTAGAAAGCATTTTTCTAGGGGTAAACACCCTTAACTGGGTGGTGACAGTGTATTTTCTTAAATCTTCTAATGAAAGTTACCGTTTTTGATAAAAAAAACATTTTTTGAAGCAGAACAAACACAAACTTGAAATGCACATGTTCATGTTCCTTTTCCATGTCCAATTTATGCAACACTCATAGTATGCATTGTTGATTGTTGAATCAATACATTCATTAGCAATCAATGAACTCCCAAAATTTGACTCCAATCAACAAAGGCACTCTGTGATGGAGAGGTGATGAGCTGCAATGCCTTCTTTAAATGACTGGCCAATTCCTTTATGATCATCTTGTAGACACTCCCTATAATAGTAATGGGTTGGTAGTCTTTTAGTTCTTTTGTATCTTCCACTTTTAGAATCAGGGAAATGTAAAGTTGAGGACTTGCATTTTTATCAATAACACTTAATTAGATAGAAAATATACTTGATAACTCTCACCAATCTTTCTTGAAAAGACGGTAAAACTAATTCGACAATTATATGCGGGAAGGTATTTTTGCTTCAATTTCATGGAAATGACAAGATGAAAACTCTGAATTTATGTAATCAATACATCGTGTCCATAGCATATTTGGCTATTTTTGTAGCAAGTCCCTTTACAAGAATATTGTTGTTATCCTGGAAAGTTGTAAAACTGCAGGCATACCAAAACCCCAATGGTTCCTACAAAAGATATGCAACAAATTGGAAGAGGATTTTCTTTCTTCCTTTTTTTTTGTATTCTGTTATGTCTATCCCTTGGCCCTTGCTAGTTCCATGTATGACCCTCTATATTTGGATGATCTTGAATGTAAACTAGATCCTTTGTTAATTACCTCGATTAGGGCATCTATATTTAGGAGGAAGAATTACCTTGATTAGGTCAGCCCTATCTAACATATCTGTTTATTACTTGCAGTGTTTAAATCCAACTAGGTGTAGGAAAGAGTTTAGAGAAGATAATGAGGGACTTTATGTGGGAATTGGGGGTGAAGGTAAGAGGGATGGATCATAGGTGAAGGTGGGAAGGGGAAGGCGCATGTAGAGATAAAAATAGGGGGGGTGGTTGGGAATAAGGAACATATAGAGGAGAAACATTGCTTTTCTAGGGAAGTGGCTGTGGAGAATGCCTCTAGTGAGAGACAAATTATGGACGAAGGTCATAGCGAGTATTCATTGGCTCATGGATAGTGGATGGGATGTTGTAGCATCGACGAGGACAAATTGAGCCTCTACTTGGAAGGCCATCAATAAAATCCTACCATCTCTCCTTCCTTTTATCAGATATAATCTTTGCAGTGGCAATGGTATTAGATTCTGGGAACGTACCTGTTGGGATATTCTACTATGAAAGAATAGTTCCCCAAGGTTCTAAATATTGATAAAGCCGATATGCTGGTTGGGGTGTATTGGCCTGTATCGAGCTGCACCTTTACATGTTTTCGTTTTTCCTTCAAACTGGTTCTGGGGTTCGGTTTTAAGGCCTGTCTATCCCCTAAACCAGGTCAGGCCCTGAAACACCCATGTAGGGTGTATGGGGGGGGGGTCACTGATACGATATGCATCGACTGATATGCCCTGATACATTTCGATACTTTGAACCTTGCCATTCCCTACAAACTCGAGCAATGTTGTTAGCCGACTCTCTGGATTGCAGAGGTGTATAAGGAATTCTAAGCTTCAAAATGTGATGAGCATGGGAAACAAGATCTATCAAACTAAAATTTGATGGTGGTAGCATGTGGAATCCAGGACCATCAGGAATTGGAGGTGTATTTAGGGATGAAGAAGGGAGAATTATTGCTTTATATTTAGGGGGAGGGTGACTCTCTCAGAGTAGAGGTTTTGGAAATGATGGAAGGTGTGTAAAGGGCAAGGTCTTTGTACATTAGGAAGCTAATAGTGGAAGGGGACTTTGCAATTGGTTGTAAACTGGCTTCATGGTGATGAAGTGAAGATGTGGATCTACAATAATGAGAAGAAAAGAATTGTGGTGGTTAAGAAGGAACATGGATGCATTTATCAAAAAAAACAAGGGACATGGATGCATTTATCAAAAAAAACAAGGGACATGGAAGTATCCTTCAGCTGGTGTAAGCGTAGTGCTAATTCCTTTGCTGATACATTAGCCAGACAAGGGGTGGGATGACAATTTCTTTTAGGGGCACAATTGTAATGAAGGGGTGCTGTCAAGGGGAGAGATAAGTTGTTTATCTCTTATTCTTAGTGTCTTAACTTTGTATATTTACTCTTTGTATTATACCATTTTTCTATTTTTAATTGAAGTTTACAGTTATCGATAGAAAAATTACGTGATTAAAGGATGGGCCAAATTTGTTTTTGGTGCAAAAGTTTAAAGAAATTCTCATACTACACAATTCATTCAATCCAACTCCACCTGACCTGACAGGTCTTCGTATTTGCATTTGATGTATAAATATTATATCAGTGTGTATGTATGCATGCATGCATGCAATTATGCATACATGCATACATGTACTTGAATATGTATAAACAATTTTAAGCTTTAAGGCAAAAATTTTCAAGTGATATAAATATTATATTCTCAAAGGACCATAACTTTGTCCTTCTACATATAATAATGCTAAAATTAATGAACCTGTAATCCTCTAATATTAAGTTTAGCAAGATGGAATGTAGATCTTGGGCCATCTCATTCCCAACCTAACCCACTTTGATCCCAACCCAACCTGAAAATGAAAATCGGATTGGTTGGATTTAACAACGTGGGTTGGAATGGTGGATTGTGATTGACCTCAGCCTGACCTAACCTCGCCTGACTTGCAGCACTTGGTGTGGCAAACTCCTTTAGTGGCCTGATTGGGCTTTATTTAGCCCATTAGCGTTCTTTCTAGGACATGGTCCTAACCCACTTATTAGGTTTTAAATGGACTTTAAGTTATTGGATTGCATATGCTTAATAAGCACATTCTTTTTCTTAAAAGAAAAGGTAAGACACGTCTAGATGTATCTTATTTGTAAATCTGCTTCCAACATTTCTGAATCCACCATAAGAGAGTTGTGCTCGTTAATGATCTGGATAAATATGCTATCTAGGTTCTGGCCACCCCATTTCATGCCTATTGGTATTTGGTGGTTGGTACATTATCATGGCTTTCCTTTCTCATAATGTATACAATGCCAGCTATTATGGATCTCTCTGTGTGCATATTTTGCTTTGTTGTGGACATTAGCTGTCGTATTTCTCTAACTTGATCGTTTGAATGTTGTCCTTGTGACTCGTTATTAGTGGATGGCATCTAAGGTGCATGGATTCAGGCTCCATGCACCATTTATGTGGAGCTGATGAATCATGTATAAGTTGGGGTCATGCTCAATATGGAGAGCTTGGATATGGTCCCATGGGGCCAAAGTAAGTGGTCCCTTGTGTATACTTGATTACTGCTGATATCCCACTTTCTTTTAGAAATTGTACGTCTCTTTTCATTTGTACCTTCAATTGTTGTTTCAAGTTTTACTAATAAATTTGCTTTTCCTCACCATAGATCTTCTGCCATACCCAAAAAGGTTGACATCCTGGAGGGTATGCATGTCCTTGGGTATGTCTATTAAAAAAATGCTCCTGCTTCCTTTAAACATATTCCATGTTATTAGACCTACTGGCACAGGATCTAATTGTGGAATTTCTTCTGTAGTGTTGCATGTGGTTTGGGCCATTCTATGGTTATTGTTGCTAGAGCCAATGTTGGTGAAAGGCTTGAAGAGGTATGTATGATCAAACTTTCAAGCATGTATTTTTCTTGCTTTTGGTCTTTGGATGAGTGTGGAATGTATTGGTTACTGGTAATAGAATACCTGACTGGTCTCAGTTTTTAAATTCTTGTATCTTTCTCTGTGAAGATTTCATTCTACAAAGTACAAACTAGAGGTTGCATTTATAGAATCGTGGGATCTCTAGAGATGGAATTAGTAATTTACAATTGTTATTTAATAATGCTCAATTGTATTGGGAATATAAAATTATATTTCCGGTGAACCAGCTTTCATGCACTCATCACACCTAGACTCTGATTTAATTTCTGCTTCGATGGAACCCATTTGATAAGTTGGTGATGCATGGAGTCCTCTAGAAGCCCTTATATGGCTTTCCCTCATCTCCATCTAGAGAATTTTAAATGGCATGAATTTGAACTTGGCCTGATCCTGATCTTGTGAAAGTGTGTCTGTGAGGACAGTGGCAGTTGACTGGATTTTTTTTGTCTTAGTGTAAAATTTAATTAAATAATATGAAGGAGTTTTCTACATGATCTTCCTGAAACCTGAAGTTAGCTTAGTTTAATTGCACTGGACCTCCTGAAACCTTTTATCTTAAACTTCACCTTAGGGGATTTAATGCCAGTATGAAAAAACCCTATTGATCCCTTCTTTGACTTGTCCTCTGCTAGATGATTGGACTAGAAATCTTAAAGGTATTATTAAATATTTTGAATGGTTTTCAGGGCTTATTGTTGGCAATTGTTGGGTTGAACATTGAGGGGATCGCACTTGAAACATATGACACTATATTGACATGTTTCAGGTGTAGTTTCATATAGTACCTCTGCTTAACCTAGGGCCATTGTGTTTTGGGAACGAGTGATCCACCAAGTGAATTAGAAAGTGTCTGCATGGAAGAACATATCCTTGTTTGGGAGAACCAGACTTGACAACTTACTTTCCTGACTTGATCATATGTTTTCGATGTCCCAGCTAGAGTTATTAGGAGCATGCAGAGGTTTATTATGCGGAACTCACAGAGCTCTCTTTTTTATGAGGGTCTTGCTATCTGATCATTTTTGATGCTGGATCACTCTTCCCAATCCTCCAGGCTTTGCTCAAGTTCTTTTAGTTGATGCTTTTCCTTAATTACTGACTACGGGAAAAGGGTTTGTTATAGTATTGATTGTTATGCATGCATGGTTGTGTATGATTCTTTGCTAAAGGGTATTGATGTTGGTGCACTTTTACTGTTTTCGTTTAATTTCTGTCAGTAGTATTTGTCTCTAACACATGATTTTTGTCATTGTTAATTTGTACTTGATTTCTTATAATGGTATTTATCTCTAATTTCTGCTTTTTGGCAGCTAAATGTTTATGATGGAAAAACTTCTGCTGAAGGTATGTTGGTATTAAAAATTGCATCCTTGATTCTTCTTTTTTCATTGTCTGTGGAAGTAATGGAAGTTATATTGTAAAAGTGCCATGAGGATTTCAAGTTTTAGTAAACTAAAACCGAGATGTCTAAAATTTGAAGAGAGCTATATTGTAGGATGGGGAATTCGTGGCATTTAAATATTACAATAGTTCTCCTCGCTTTTGAAGAAGCACTGCATTATTAGAAAGGCGGAAACTTATCTTACTGCTCAGATGATTAAGTATCCTATTGGGAGTTTGATCTATGATCTGCTTCACATTCAATTATGGCCAAGAAAAGGTGTCCAAGCTGCCAGTGTAAAATGTATCTGTTTGACATGTGGAGATTCTACCAACTTGCCTACCTTCCCAAAATTGATGGTGCTATTACTTGTTTTAGAAACTGCAACAAACAAAGAAGGTTGGAAATATTTGGAATCAAACATTACTTTTGCTCTCGTCTCTTCATCTTCTCTTATCTAATCCTAACCCCTCCTCGAGGTTGTCCATTTTCTCTTTACTGCAGATAGGAACACAAAGAAAGAATCCAATGAGAGTTAAATCCAGAAGCTCATCACCTATAACCCCTCCTTCACCCCATGAAGCTCACCACCTTAAATTAGTAGGACCCCTATCCTGTCCTGTATAAAACACTCTCTCATGGTTATCCGCACCAATGGAACTCGTACTCTGTAATAGGTTTTTCCTCATGTCCAACACTAGTTCAACACTAGCCTGTCTAGGCCCTATAGGTTGTAGAGTTGAGTTAAAAGCCTGAGCTTTGGTTCATTCATGCATGTCCAACCATTTTAATTTGTCTCTCAAGTGGGTCCTGTGTGCTCACTAAGAGATTTTCACGGGATATGATAGCATCTCTAATATTTTCTGTATATTGAGAAGTTCTTCAAGAACTAAAGTGATTATTTTCTTTGTTCAGTCAATTTTATATTTGATTCTACTTATTAGGAAAATAAATATCTACAAGTAGGGTGAATTACCAATAGCTCCCCTGGGATTTTGGTCAAATTATAAGACCTCTCCTCAGATTTGTGTTAATTTGTACCGACCAATCAGTTACAAGGGATTTGTTAATGGAGGAGATGAAATCAAGACAGGAATAGGTAGTTTAAAATATATATTTTGAAAGTGATAAGTAACCTCATTTATAAGCACCAAGTTCAATTTTACCATTTCAGAATTCTATTGTATTTTATTTTTTTTCTTGATACTGTTCTGCTTTTCATTCCCAGTTTCCCACCTTAAATGGGCAGAAAATTTCTCTTTAAGAAATACAATTGATGGCAGAAAAAATTTCATTCCCATCACTAAAACCATAGTTGTCAGGACGATGCCTAGGCAACAAGGTACCCTTGGAGGCTCGGCTTACCTAATTGCCACACAGTTTTGGAGATTGTGTTATAAAATACTTATATATTCTTATTTTTTGAGATTACAATTATAAATTGACATTATTAAACTATAGTATTCATGTTGTGTGTTTATATACTAATTTCTTTTTATTATTTTCTTATTTGTTAGGGTTTAATCAATACTGACATTGCTAAGTGCTTGAATCCTCAAAGACTTCAAAACCTGAACCAATAAGTAAGGAAGAACTTAAAATTTATTCATAGAAAAAGGAAGAACATAAAATTTTTTCTAATCAACACATTTTCTTCGTTTTTGAATTTTCTCTTTTCTTTTTTCTTCTCATGAATATGTTCAATTTCTATACTTCAACATGACGTTTATACTTTTCTTATGATAGTTATGTATAATTATCAAGGAAATATGGTTATGGAACCTAGGGACCTAGCCTACATGTTTTTTACTTGAAAAAATCCATCGCCTAGGTCATGCCCGCCTAGGCAACAAGGTGCCCCCCCTGTTACCTACCCTTCGCTATAGCCAGCTTGAAAGCTAATGACTAAAACTCAAGGCAGGTTTGGTGTGGAATTTGACCTAAACTGGAATTGATAACTCGGTGAGTAAGTTAATCGGTAAACCAGAGGAGAGGTTGGAATTTGACCTAAACCCCAGAGACTTTTTGAGTAATTTTATCATTACAAGTATTCTTGTGAACTCTCCTTTCAGATGATGAATGAAATTTGAATGTCATCTTACAATTTTATATTTTGGTGGTGACTAATATCTATAAACACCTTAGGTGTTTGACTCGTTTCTTTCTAGGCACCGTGTCCTAGAAGGGCGACTTGTCTTGATAGACTTGACTCTGTTTGCCTTTTTCTACCAAGAAAAGGGGGCCCTGGGAGCCTTGTATGCTCATATTTTAACCTAAATCCCAGGGAGTTTTATTGCTTGGTATAAAGGTAAAAACTTCAGGCTGATAAGCGCTAAAATTATAAATGCTGGTTTGAACATGAATTTAGAGTGGCTACTACGCAAAAAATGCATTAGCTACTGGTGAGTATTACAGAGTTTTTTTGGAAGTTTAACTACTGAGAATTTGATTGTTAAATTAATCGGTCGTGTTTAATAGGAAATTTTGTTGTGCTGATGTAACTTTCTTGTATCTAAAATTGTGAATATGAAAGGTTTCTGTTGTAGGAATTAGAATTTCCTATGGAAAGTCTAAATAATCTTGATGCAGGGAGTGCTGAACCCAAGAACACAAGTCCGGCATCCAAGAGAAATATTAAAAAAGGTGGCACCAAAGCTTCTGGCAACTCCAATAAAAGGAAGAAGTCCAAGGATTCTTCAGATTCTGAAGAAGAGAATAATATTGACGATGACAGCAATGGTAGTGGGGAGGATGCTAATGGCCAAACAGAAAGAGGGGGGCGGGGTGGTAATACTTCTGGTAGAGGACGTGGTAGGGGGAAGAAAGGCACTGGGAGTGGGCGGGGGCGGCCTCCTGCTGATGAGAAGAAGAGTTCTAGGCATGTTCGAGGGAGGGGAAAATCGGGGAAAAGAGGGAGGTCTACCTAGTGAAGAGACTCCTTCCTTCGGCCACCCAGAATTTTGTTTTCTCAATGCACAGAAATTTCATTATTTTCCCCATTGGCAGGTATCTGATTTTGGGTTTCCTTTTCCATACTTTATAAATTCATTGTGTTCAAACACCGACAATTTTATTTCACAAAAATTTGGGGCTTCACTCCCTTGGTGGGGGAGTGGAAGATGGAGCAAAAGCTCTCATCGGCTTTGTATTTTTAACTATTTACTTGTTTTTCAATCACAAGGCTATAGTTTTATCATGCTTTCAGTTTTGTTTTGGTGCATGCTTTGTTTTACTGTTATTTAAGGCCAACCATACTCCTAATTGCATGGAATGAAGTTTTTATTGCGGTGATGATTTCACTTTCTGCACCCTTTAGTGGGTTATCCTTTGATGTAGAACTCCCTACTCCACAGTGAAATGCCCTATACGTCCTGTTACAACTAGAAGTACTTTAATGTTTGAAGATGCTTCTGTAGATCAAAATAACCAGTGCCGACTGACTATCGATTCTTTCCTAGCTAGGCCTGGGTTCAAATTTCCTGAGTTCGGCCTTTCTGTAATTTTATGCGTAACATATATCATATTATCCCGGGCCAGTGAATGGCTGGTGTGGGTGGGCTGGGGCCTGGTCTTTCATTAAGCTCCTTAAAACAGATTCTATGTTTGTCCAAATGTCGTCCAAGATTCCCCTTACCAATCCACATTTATATAGACTAATAAATGGCCACATGCATTGCACGTGGGAGATTGTATGATAATGATTAAAGTATGAAAAATTAAGAAGAAATCGAAGATAAAACATCAACAAAAATCTGTCTTCGGTTGCCTCTTGAGCTGCCATTTAATATGAATCTAGGTATTCAATGTTTTTGGGTTGATAAAAAAATTAATGAGACCCTAACTCTTGTCATTACCTCAGGCATATGTTGACACCGAGTCTCGACACCACGAAATGAAAAAGAAAGCTGCTCTCCTAGTCGAGAAATTTTTTTTTTCCTTTTTTGACAATAAACTGAAATTGAATATCAAAAGGTTGTTCAGTTGTTGCAGCAAACAGTATAGAAGTTTTACCAATAAATAATACGAAAGGAAAATTGATAACATAAAATATCTGCAGCTACAAGGTCTAAAGTTGGCCAAAATTAACATCAAAATCCGTTGAATGTTTCCCTTCAAAGGTCCTTCCTTTCATCTCCTAGATATCCCAAACAATAAATTGAAGATGCTTATCCCACCTATTTTCAAGTCTACATTCTGATTCGATTATGATTTTTCATTGGTAAGTAGAAGTGGGTACGTTATTAATTAGGGTATGGAGTTTGTTTGCACCTGGCCCTACGGTTTTGAAACCAAACTTTGACTTGTCAAGGTTTCAACATCAGTTATAAATCCAACACTTTCTGTTGTTTCTATCCCTAACACAAAATATCAAAATAGGAAAATTGTTAGTGATAAGAAAAAAAAAGACTACAATTGCATGGAAGATGATAACAGAAGAGGGTTATCATTTACAAAGGAATGGGATACAGGATTCATGTTTGGTTCTGTTTGAAATTCTCCCAAGAGACGAGATTGTTCTTTTGTGAGGCAGAGCTTCTTACGGTGAGGGCCTTCACCACCACCACCACCCAAGCTGGTATCTTCTTCTGCACTTCCCACTTCTTCTGTGCCTGAGGGGATTTGATTTATGTCCAGCTCTTTCATCACACTACCACCATCTGTAAGGAAGAAGAAGATTCGAATTAATGTTTTTCCATGTTTAGCAATGAAACCCATCTATTAGAAACCAGAAAGAAAATAAAAAAGGCCGAAAATTTACAAGTGGATCGGACTAACTACTAAGAGAGAGAAGATTGATGAAAGCTAATTAAGACTCCATCTGAAAATAAACTTGATGAAAAAGGAAGAAAGAAAATGAGACAACGTACTTCAATGTGAGCAAAAAGAGAGGAAAAGAAGAAGCAAGCAAAACTAAAATGGAAGAAAAACCAGCTATAAACCAGATCCAAGACATATATACATAAATCAATAGATAGAGAGATTAAAAGAAGTCTTGTAAATTAGAAGTATTGAAAGAATACAAGTTTTAAAGACCAACTAAATTAAAAAAGAACTGAAAAAGACCAACTAAATTAAAAACCAAAAGCTTTTTTTTTCCAGCCACTCCCACCTACTCTAACAATGACGGACATCACTGTGACTACGACACTCTCTTGTTGCGAGCTCCCCTCTTGGGTAGTTGTCTTGGGTTTCTCTGCATACTCTGATTTTTCACTGTCTTGTCCATTCTTATTATAAGAATGGCAGAAGTAGAATAGTAACCGTTCATAGATAAATCATCATGGAAGTGTTGATCTCTTTGAATATAGGAGATGAAACCACTTGGGAGATGAAACCTAATGACATATATGCCCTCTACATAGCATATAAAGAGGGGGCAGAACATATCTAATGAAAATTCCAAAAATAGAGGGTATTGGCTCTTTTATAAGTAGTATAAATATTTTTCTCCAAGTAAAGAATAAATACAAGAAGAATAACGTAGCCTACTGATCACAATCATTATACGAACATTGCGAGCTTCAAGAAGGATAACATCTCATGCACGTGATATCAAATAGTTCTAGGCTACCGCATTGATACGTTCTCGGTTAGAATGTAGCAAAGACGTGAGATCCATTTCCATTGCCACCAGGTTTGGGAGGGTAGAAGGGTTGGGGGATGGACTACTAGAGCCTAGACTCTATATAGCTATAACGTGGGCCTTGTCAACCTTTTAAGGCCACCTACACTGTAGTGGGCCATGTGGGTCGTGCCTACTTGGCACGAATCTTTCAAGTGGGGAGCCTGGCATGGCCCAAGGCTTGACCCTAGCTGGCCTGTGCATCGCTGGGCCAGACCCTGATTTTTTTTTTCACTTCTCTCTCACTTTCTTTTGACCAAGTAAAAATGACAACAAAATTGAGAAAAAATAATAAAATTTAACAAAATACTTAACAAGATAGACAGCAATTTCATATGAGTTTTTTTACAAAAATTTAATAAAAATATTAAAATTTAATTTATATGAGTTTTTAAGGCATACAGTTTTTCATTTTTTTTTTTTAATTTCGATTTTTAAAATTTTGGTTTATCTAGTTTCATCTTTAATCAAATACAGTGAATGCTCATCCCTACGAAGGTCAGAAGCATTCAGTGGATCAAAGAGATGGGGATATGCGTGTTGCAAACTTGCAATCACTGACAGTGACATACATGAAGAAACATGTGTAACAACTAAAATGATGGAACTAAAAAGCTTATTGTTTTGTCTTTTATCAATAAGGTTTTAAGTAGGTTTATTTTTATTTTTTATTTTTTATTTATTTTTTGGGATGGTTTTAAAAACTTTATCTGGTATCAAATGACCCCTTGGTCTCTTTTGAAAAGAGAGAAAGAGAGGAGGTTTTAGCATTTTATTAAGGGAGGTTTTTTCTTGAGATAACATAACAGTGACTTTTCATAGAAAAGTTTGTAGAGTTACTTATTCTTAAGTCATTCGTTAATTCTTTTTTTTCTTTTGTCTTTTACTATTTAAGCTGGCCTTCTGTTATTGGCCGATGCTCTATATATAAACTCTGTTATTGTAACCCTTTGGACTGCGAGAAAAAATAGTTTTCTCTCCCCTTTCTTCTTCCTTCCTTCTTGCCTTTTATTCTTGTTTTCTTCTTCTTGTTGTTTTGTTTTGGTACATGGTAGGCTGTTCATAAGAAGGCCCAACCCGACCAAACCGACCAACCCGGATCGACCCAACCCGAGTCGGCTGGGTTTTCATCAGCACCGGTTGGTTTCGGGTTGTACAAATTCATAAACCGATGGTTCGGGTCGGTTTCGGTTTTCTTGTGTGAAAATCGAAACCGACCCGAACCGAACCGACTTAGTTCCTACTTAACTATTTAAATATATATTTCGATTTTAAATTAAATCGACCTAATCTATTTAAATATATATTTCGATTTTAATTTAAATATATTTTATATTTAAAACTGTTAAATAAAGATATTTCAGTTTTACATAAAAACTGAAATATCTGACAACCCAAACTTGCACCACACAGGCACATGGGCCATGGGGGCATGGATGAACTTAGAGCCGAAACCGACCCAACCCGACTCAAATCGACCAGGTCGGTTTTGCTTAACACTGGGTCGGTTTCGGTTTCCATCTCAAGTAACCCGACCAGGTCGAGTCGATTGGAAAAACCTCAGTAAACCGACCAAACCCGACCCGTGAACAGCCCTAGTACATGGTATCAGAGCGACGAGATCTGGTGCCTACCCTTTCTTTTTGACTATTTTCCTATCAACACTATGGAAGAAGAGGTGGATACCTCTGTTACTCGTAATGGTCGAAATACGACCGGCCCTGGAGCTGTTGCAGAGATTACAAGAGAGTCAGCCTACAACTCGAACGGAGACCCTTTCTTCTTGCACAGTTCGGATCATCCTGGAATGATGCTAGTTACAACACCATTAACTGGAAACAACTACCTCACCTGGAGCAGATCTATGAAGATAGCTCTAGGTGCGAAACTGAAGCTGGGTTTCGTGGATGAGAGGATTGCTCAGCCAGATGAAGGAACAACAAAGTTTGAGCTATGGACAAGGGTGAACTACATGGTAACTTCCTGGATCCTTAACTCAATCTCAAAAGAAATAGTAGATGCCTTTCTTTATACTACTACAGCGAAGGAACTCTGGGATGAAATTGCTAAAAGATTTGGTGAAAGCAATGGGCATTTGCTGTATCAAATCCAAAGAGATATAAGTTCAATATCTCAAGTGAATGAATCAGTAGCTAAGTATTACACTAGGCTTAAAAGGCTGTGGGATGAGCTAACCTGCTTAATGCCTATTCCACCTTGTACCTGCGGTTCTGCTAAGGCAGTTGCCGATTTGCATTCATTCAATAGATTAATGCAATTTTTGATGGGTTTAAGTGACTGCTATGAAAATATAAGGAGTCAAATCCTTGTAATGGAACCCTTACCCTCTATGAACCATGCTTATTCCTTGGCCACTTTGAGGTTCCCTATGAAATGAGGCATGGAACGGAGCCACTATGAAGAAGTTCTGGGAGTTACGAAGGAAGCTTCGGGCTCATATTGGTCATGGTTCTCAGAGTTGAGAAAGAGAGAGAAGTACACACAACTTTTAATGAAAACATAGACTCTACTGGGTTATTTGCCAAAACCCAAAACACCAATCAACCCTACAGAAGGGATGGAACTAATAGGGGAAATAATAAGAACACAGACATGGGAAGGAAGGATAAGGACAGGAAGTATTGTGATCATTGCAATGTGAAGGGACATGTGAAAGAGACTTGTTTCAAGCTCCATGGATACCCACAATGGCCAACATGGTGGAAACTCCCTTTGATTTTGGAACTGAAGAGAAGGTTGATGGGAAAACTGATAAGAAAATGGATTTGGCAAATATGGTGCAACAAGAAATCCTGAAGCTGATGAAAGGGAAGATGACTATGGAAGGCAGCCATGTCGACTTTGCTAACCTGGACAACTATGCAGGTAATTCCTTCAATACTGAATGTGCTTTAAGTTTTGCATTGAGTATTATTGACTTATTGAAGCCGGGTACTTGAATAATTGACACAGGGGCTTCAAACCACATGTGTGGAAATAAATCCCTTTTTGATAAGCCTAGACCCACTAAACATCCACTACCTGTTTGCCTATCAGACAGATCCATTAAATTTGTTCATAGCATTGGAAATATTCATTTTTCAACTGATATTTGTTTGAAAGATGCATTACACATTCCTAGTTTTAAATTCAACATCTTATCAGTAAATAAACTTGCTAAGTCTGCCCAAATAAAGTTCACATTCTTACCTAGCCATTGTCTGCTGCAGGACCTGCAGACTAAAAGGATTCTGGCTGTAGGGAAACTACTAGGAAGCTTATACATCCTGGACAACTCTTGTTTTAGAAAATTCAGATGTAATACAGAGCCAAACAATGACAAGTTGTTTTTGAATTTCAATGAAACTTTTTTACTTTGTAATGCTGCTGTTTCTAGAAATGAAAGTAGGGCTACTTCAAAAATCTCTCTTTGGCATGGCCGTTTGGGACATGCTTCAATGAATGTTTTAAAGCATATTGATTTTCTTAAATGCTTGAATTTACAAAATGAGGTTGGGTGTGAAATTTGTCACTTGTCTAAGCAACAAATGCTACCTTTTCCAACCAGCAGTATCACTACCCAACAACCCTTTGAATTAATCCATTTGGACACTTGGGGACCATACAAAGAGCCTTCAATTACTGGAGCCACATATGTTTTAACAATTGTGGATGACTGTACCGAGCAACTTGGACCTTTCTGATGTCACACAAAACCCAAACACTTGCCATTTTCACTCAATTTTTTAACATGGTTAAGGCTCAATTTGATAAAACTATCAAAACCATAAGGTCTGACAATGAAACAGAGTTTACAAACTATGACTTCCAATCCTTTCTTTTTAGCAAAGGAGTGTTACATCAAAAGACATGTCCTTATACACCTCAACAGAATGGAATTGTTGAAAGRAAACACAAGCATCTCTTGCAAGTGGCAAGAGCTCTCATGTTCCAATCTTGCTTGCCAAAAAAATTCTGGGGACATTCCATCCTTATGGCTACTCATATTATAAACAGACTACCCTCATCAGTGTTAGCCTGAAAATCTCCATTTGAAGTCCTATTTCATAAACCACTGGATTATACCAATTTAAGATGCTTTGGTTGCTTATGCTATGTGACAAATACATTACCTCATAAAAACAARTTTGATCATAGAGCATTTAAGTGTATATTCATTGGGTATAGTCCTAGCCAAAAGGCCTATGATTTGGAAAAACATGAAGTTTATGTGTCAAGAGACATAAAATTCTATGAGCAAATCTTCCCTTTCAGAACCAATTCAGTTTCTGTTGATAAAAATCCATCATTTGTTTTACCACTACCTTCTCCAGATGATATTTCAGATTTTTTACCAACCCCTACACCAGATGCATCATCACCCATACCATCAACAGGGGAGTCCAATGAAACACCTGATTTTTTGGATTCACCAACCTCTGAACCGGCAACAGAAACCCCTGGTCCACCTTGTGATTTACTTCCTGAAACTACAGTCCCAGTTACTGCAAACAACCTACCCCGTATCAGATAGAGTACTAGAGTTAAAACGAAACCAGCTTGGCTTACAGACTATGTTACTAACTTGGCTTATAGCAATGTTAGAATTACTGACAGAATCCTCAATCAGTCACAGGTTCATGCATCATCACCTCACACACCTCCAACATATCCCTTTGTTCAATCACCTTCACTTTATGCATCATATTAGCCTTTTTAGCTAATGTATCAAATATTCAAGAACCAACTTCTTATAATCAAGCTAGTACTAATGCTGAATGGATTAAAGCAATGAATGAGGAATTAGAAGCATTAGAGAAGAATGAAATTTGGGAACTCACTGATTTACCAGAAGGAAAAGGGGCCATTGGTTCCAAATGGGTATATAAACTGAAGTTGAATCCAGATGGCAGTGTGGATAGATACAAAACCAGGCTGGTAGCCAAAGGCTTTCTCTAGGTGGAAGGGATTGACTATTTTGATAGCTTCTCTCCTGTGGCCAAAACAGTAACTGTAAGAATTTTTCTTGCAATTGCAACATCTAAATCATGACCTATCCATCAATTGGATATCAATAATGCATTCTTGCATGGGTATTTGGATGAGGAAGTCTACATGCAACCTCCAGAAGGGTATTATAAGGCTGCCAAGGGTCATGTCTGCAAACTGAAGAGATCACTCTATGGGCTTAAACAAGCCTCAAGACAATGGAATGTTGAATTTAGTAACAAAATTAAGGCTTTTGGTTTCCATCAATCAGCTCATGATCACTGTTTATTTGTTAGGCACTCATCTGATTCCTTCATTGCATTGTTAGTGTATGTAGATGATGTACTTTTAACATGTACCTCAGAAGCAGATATCGTTTCAGTCAAATAGTACTTGGATAAGCTATTCACTATCAAAGATCTTGGCTACGCCAAGTATTTTCTGGGTTTGGAGATTGCTAGGAGTTCTTCAGGTACTGTTCTTAACCAAAGGAAGTACATTCTTGACATTCTAACAGATGCTGGACTCCTAGGTGCTAAACCAGCTAAAACACCTTTCCCCAAAGGTCAAAAGCTATGTGCAAATAAAGGCACCCGACTAGCTGAACCAGAAAGATATAGAAGGCTTGTTGGACGCTTATTGTATTTGAATATTAGCAGGCCAGACATTAGCGACTCTATACAACAACTAAGTCAGTTCACAAACTCTCCATGTCAGTCACACTAGGAAGTTGCAATACACTTGCTTAGATATCTAAAAGGTTGTCCTTCAAAAGGCCTTTTTTATCCAGCAGACAATTCTCTTCACTTGGAAGCTTTCAGTGATGCAGATTGGGCCTCTTGTTCTGAAACCGGAAAATCCTTAACAGGGTTTTGCATTTCTTTGGGGTCAGTTCTCATTTTTTGGAAGACAAAGAAGCAAACAACAGTCTCAAGATCATCAGCAGAAGCAGAATATAGGAGTTTAGCAGCAACGGTTTGTGAATTTCAATGGATCTCCTATGTTCTCAAGGATTTTGGTATCCAATTAAAACTTCCAATTCCTCTTTGGTGTGACAATCAAACTGCTCTATACATCACTGTCAATCCAGTGTTTCATGAAAGAACAAAACACTTGAACATTGATTGCCACTTAGTTAGAGAGCAGTTTAAGCAAGGCTTTATCAATCCTCAACACTTCTCCACTCATCACCAAGTAGCTGATGTTTTTACAAAGCCACTTTTTGGTCCTAAATTCAGCAACTTCATGTCTAAGTTGGGTTTGCTTGATATCCACCAAACTCCAACTTGAGGGGGGGATGTAGAGTTACTTACTCTTAAGTCATTCGTTAATTCTTTTTTTTTTCTTTTGTCTTTACTATTTAAGCTGACCTTCTGTTATTGGCCGATGCTCTGTATATAAACTCTGTTACTGTAACCCTTTGGACTGCGAGAAAGAATAGTTTTCTCTCCACTTTCTTCTTCCTTCCTTCTTGCCTTTTCTTCTTGTTGTTTTGCTTTGGTACGAAGTTCTCTTTTCTTTTCTTTTTTAGTTTGACATTCATTTAGTTGCTATATGATTACAACTGGTGCATATATAGCAACTAAATCCATTTTCTATCTTTGATCTAACCATGTCAATGGTTCTTCCCTTAATTTTTTTTATGTCTTCCTCTCTTGTTCTTGTTCCTTTCGTTTAGCAGCAGGGTTTCTTCCACCTAAAGCTTCCCTTCATTGGGAACGTACACCAATTTACAACAACTTCATCTCTTCATCGTAGGCTGCACTAGCTTTATATGAGATATATATGGTCTGCTTATGTCTCTGCAACTTGGTTCCAAACCAGTAGTGGGTGGTTTCTTCGATCAGGCCATCCTTTGTTTGCCAATAGAAACTGTCTTGTGGAGGCCATGACATTGCTTTCAATTCGCACCCTACGGTGAATAATGGAGGGAACTAGATGAGGAAGATACCTGTTACTGAGCTCTTCAGCACCAAGAGGGTCCAGTCCTATAGGTCCATAAGAGAGGAGGAGATTTTTCATTTTTCAATCGATCAAGTCGATTTCTCAATTATCTGCCTCTTTCACTCCTGTGAATTATATTTGACAGATGTGGCACTTGTTCTTACGAAGAACATCATCTGTAGGATTGCTTTCGGCAAGACATTCCAGCATGAAGGTTGGCACAAGGAAGCTCAAGCCTTGTTGCATCATTAGTTTTGCTTTTGCCGATCATTTTCCATCTGCAGGGTGGGTGTTTGATATTCTCAGTGGACTAGATCGTAGGCTCGAGAGGAACTTTCAACGTTTGAATTTGTTTTACAATCAAGTCATCGGGGAGCATCTTGATCCCAAGAGGGCCAAGAGGCCCAAGTCTGAAAATTAAGGAAAACATCACCGACATCTTGCTTCAAACGCACAGGATCAAAT